TTGATGGTCTGTGCCTCGTCACCAATGACTGCACAAAAACAACGTAACATAAAATTTGGTTCTGCGCTTAATTCGACTAAATTCCAGCTTTGATAATTAAAAATATCGGGTTGACTGTCATTCAACAAATATTACTCTCATTGTAAAAGTGAGTGAGAAAGTGCTGCCCTCTAATGTGTGAAAACAGAGGTCACTCAATTGTAATTCAGAGGTCGCTCTATGATGTGTGCTTCCATGGGTAATTCTCGACCTCAAAGGGTTGCATTGCTCTGTGAGAGATCTGATTGGATACTTCGTTTCATGGCGGGATGCTGATATCACTATCGAGCTCGAAATTGGGAATATGATTTAGATATCAAAACCATAAACTGCTAATTATGAAAGATGGCCCATCACATTAACACTATGAAGATCTATTAAAACCTGCAATGATGCACAACTAAAACTTGAAGAGCTGTTTGTTAACGTAGTTTGTTTAACCTTGCAGATCTTTCTATCAAACTAACTTGGAATTCTGAAAGTACAACGTTATTTTATTCAACTCATATTTTCGGATCACTCAAACAGTTGAATTTTAACACATTTCTACGGTGTTATCATCAGAAGCTCAATTATTCCGTGTCAATTGTTAACCAATTAAAACAATCATTAATGCACAGCCCTTGTATTGAACATTGTTGGGTTAAAAGGAACGTCCTTCATCACCACCAATATCTGACGGCCTTGGGGGTTGTTTGACCATACTTCACCATGCTGGTCAGCACGGGTGGATGAAGAAAGAGGTGAGGAAGGGCCGATTCAGCTGCCACGCGGCCACTGTTATACGGCAGAGCCACGAATCAAACCCAGCTCACAGGGTTCTTCGCACCGTTAACTAGCCGCGGTGCCACATTTAATTTCTCAATAAAACATAAAACATCTCATTGCGCGAGTTATAGCCATGCTGATTTAGAATAGCCCATAAACATGTTATGATAATATATCGTCGACGAGTCTCCGAACATTAGCTCTGGAAGGCGCGTAGCGCACACTCAACAAATCTCGTGTGTTCGTATGTCGCCTCCACGTGTCCAACTTACGGCACGAGATTTGCTCCCACTCGTCCGTGAATACCTCGCGTCTGAATGACGCCACCCCTCGGCAGTGCTTTAGTGCTGCATCGACTCAACTGCTGCTGTACGGACCGATTGGGTCACCAACTGTTCTCGTGCTCCTCTTTCCGTCCCTCGATGTAATTCCCAGCATGGATTTCTCCACGCTACATCACGCACCTTTTCAGTGTTCGTTCCATTCGTTTTGTTCATGACTACTGTGTTTCTGAACCGCGTGCCATAGCAGGCACTACGCACTGATTAAAATCGTTCTGCGGGCATATTGGTTTATTATATACACATCATATAACTGATTAGATATTCTAGGACGCTTCGCATGCCAAGTTTAAACTATCCAGTGTACATTGAGCTGCCACCTGTCCTCGTTTTCCCAGGATGCCCTCTGTTTGAGGCAGCTGCTATCCTGGGAAATCTGTAAGTCTTGCCGGGACATTCGAAGCCCCAGTTTTTTTGTCATGTGTCTAATAATAATAACCATACAAATAAGACACCGCTGAAGAAAAATGCGCTTACATGCAGTTCTCCCCGTTCCTGCTATTGTGGGATATTCGTTTCCCCAAGACATATCTCAGTTTCTTTGTTACCCAAAGGTGTCAACCAAAGCGAAGAGGTGTGTGAGTTCTGAGACATTAATCGTGCAGGAACAATTTGTTCCAAAACAATTTGTCTCGCACGATTCATCTCTCAGAACACCAGAGCACAGTATGGCATGGTATATCGTTGTTATGGTTGTTTCGGTTGTTGGGTGTGTGTTTTGTGTGTGTGTGTATGTGTGTGAAATTACTTTCACGTTTATTGCAGCAATTCGGATTTTTATTTGACTGCAAAAATGCAACGATTTGCCTTTGTAAATGTGGCACTTGCATGCTGCCTTTCGACGAAACATTGCAACGGTGGACTGTTGCCTGGTTAAATTAAGCACATTTTTGTGAGGAATGTATTGTTTTATTTGCATTATTTTATTATTTTCCTTCTACGTGACTTACCGAAAGAACCAAGAAAATTAATCCCTGCAGTCACGAAAGGTTTAAATCGAAATTCACGTTGATGTTCTCGCATTTTTATATTACTGGCGTAATATAAACACAATAGGTATGATTGCATTAAATAGGGGTATATATGTCCGTATTTCCAAGCGGTATTAAATCAAGGACATCTGATAGATTTAAATACATTGTATGACGTTAACAACTGTCAGGATAGAAGGTTGCTCAGTTATTAGTAGACTGTGCTTTAGGCCTTAAGTGTCCTGGGTTCGATTCCCAGCCATATCTGTCCTCATTTGTAAGTTATACCAGAACCAGTCCTTAGAGACGTCACCAGACGATCAACCCGCAGCACCAACATGCACTCACCAGCGTGGTGAATTATGGTCAAACAACCCAATGATTCATGAAGCACGGGATGAGCTTCATCCAGCAGTGGATTGACAAAGGGCGATACGTTATTAATGTCATGGAATTAACTGTCTTTTCTTTAATATTGTTTTCCTTTAAAAAAAAAATACGCATATCAAATCACACTCAGGGGAATTGGTTCAGATTTGTTGTAGTAAGCTGTACGTCAAGGCCGTAACTATAATATATATTGGGGGGGGATGTGTCAAAATGTCCCCCCCCCAATATTTTGCTATAAAATATTTTAAAATAATAATAATTGCGATGCTATGTAAATAAAAACAACAATTTGCTAACCCTTGGCCACAATATCTGGACTTGTCTTCATATAACAATGCATAGATTTCTGTTGATATGATTGTGGATACGGTTGTACTTTATGAATCCCAAATCTCTGCCATTACATAAAATTAAAGAAAATGTAGAGAAGAAAAACAGAGCAATGTAATACAATACACTATTAGACATTATTGTAAAAAAAAAAGTCCATCCCATGTGTTAGTGAATTTTTAAAAAATATTTTAGGCAGGAAATGGCAGGAAATTAGTTTTCAAATTTAGATTTTTTTCTGGGGGGGGGACCTCAGACCCACTGGAGGATTTGGCCCCCCCAATGTTGACTCCATGGCAACAGCCTTACTGTACGTATTCATATAATGTTCCTGTACATATTATATAACTACTCTCTCCATATTCATTCATATTCCTGTATATATTACATAACTCATCTGTCCACTGATTGTTAAAGGATAAGGTAATAGCTTAAATTTCCACCAACCATCAGGACATTAATTAATTCATTGAAATACTCCAACGTGTGTGCTCTCTTTTTGTGTCTGGCCTCTCTCACCAATGATATATATTTTAAGCCAGTGCTGGTGACCAATGTGTTGAGTTTTTTCACGTAAATATATTCCTGTATGTATTACACAACCACTCTTTTTCCACTGCTTGTTAAAGGATAACATTCAACCTTGAACTTGCACCAGACATCAGGACGTGGATCCATACATTTGTAGTGACACAGAGTCGACTGCTGTACAGCAGCAGCAACTGCGGTGGACACTTAGCGCACGTGCCATCGAGCACATACACGGTGTGTGTGCCCGGCAGGGCGGAGGAACTGGAGCAAGGGTCACGGTAGACCTCGTGGGGAGGCCCCTGGAGCCCTCTGGTGGGTTCGAGAAGGGAGGCGCGGCTAGGGCGGAGCCAGGCCGCGCCGAGGGGAATAAAAGCAGCGGAAAGCGGGGAGCTCCGGGCTGCCGGTTCTGGGAGTGGACTCGTCTCGTCGTCTTTGCCGCCTTCGCTCGATCGTTGCGCGGCCGGACAGTTGTTGGCTGTCTCGGTCGACGCCATCGGTGCAACGCGGACAGGGTCGTGTCTGGGCCGTGCGGCAGCGTGGTCGTGAGAGAGGAGGCCGGAGTTGGTGGTGTGAACGAGAGATGATAAAGAGAGAGACGGTGCCTCCTGCGACTACCCCGTCTCCGACTGAGTGTGTGTGTGTGAGGCACGCCACACGCACGCACACACAAGCCTCGAGGAAGGACGAGGACGCTACACATTTAAATACTCTGCCTGATATCAACTCTCTGTCTGTCCTGTTATATATTTTTTGTTTTTTAAGCAACTGTCGTTAAGTTTTTCAAGTAAATACCTGTGTGTGTAGATATACCTGTCTCCCCACATTGCCCATAACGGTCAACCCCTTATTAGTGCCTCCCTTATTACAGACCAATTCAAACCTTATTGGTCACCCCTCGACGTTCATCCTACAAAGGCCCATCACAAGGGAGAAACACAAACAAATAGACACTATTTTTTGTTGATGTTGCCCTATTGAAGCGGCTGTACGCCGCATGGACCTGAACACTAAATTTGCCTTGTACAAGAATACGGGGGTATTCTTGTACACGGCAAATCGTATTGGTTGACAGGTATGCTATATCTATGTATCTCTATGGGTCTCTATTTCGATGGGTCTCTATGGATCTCTATGGGTCTCTGTCTATAATAATACCTATACTCTTTGGTTCTATTCGGTAAAGTCATGTAAGTAAAAAAAATAAAACAAAAATCACTTACCTACGTGACTTTACCGAATAGAACCAAAGAGTATGGATCCTTGCAGTCACGAAAGCTTCAAATCTAGAATATAATAATACCTGTCGACCCCTTAGCAGTGCCTCCCTTATTGCAGACCAATGCAGACCTTATTGGTCACCCTGTGCCCTTATAAACCTCAGCGTTCATCCCACGTTCATCCTACAAAGTTCCATCACAAGGGAGAAACACAAACAAATAGACACACATTTTTGTTGTTGTTATTGAAACGGCTGTACGCTGCATGGACCTGAAAGGCACCATTTCTCTTGTACAAGAATACCGAGTTAAACCGCATGGAGAACAGCCACCAACATATTTCCATAACAATAGCTGTCCCCACGTGTCACCACTCCCTTTGTTATTCGAATTGATGACAATGCATTCCAAGTGGCGGGATCCGGTTCCAACCCCAGCCGCCCCCCCACCCCCGGGAGTCTTCACCCAGGAACCGGATCCCTGCAATCAACAACCAAGCGTTTTAGCGGTTACATGGTGAGGTATCCGTTTGCTTTAAGCGCTTTTTTTAAAAAATGTGTATTATTGTGATCGTTTCAACGCGTTATACAAATGCGCCGCAGCGTTTACTGTAATGCTTACGTGTTGGCGGAGACGTTGGTTGTTTTTTTATTTTTTAAAATCTTGAGATATATTTTTTTGAGTGTCGCGCGCCGGAAGGGGGTCTATTGCTTGGAAATATTCGCCCGAAGCCTGCTGCGGTCAGAATTGTAGGCCGCGGCGGCTTGAAGCTACGGGGCTCAAATACACTAGAGAATCATGTTATAATGTTGATTTGAAGCTTTCGTGACTGCATGAATCCATACTCTTTGGTTCTTTCGGTAAAGTCACGTAGGTAGAATCATGTGATAATCGCGATATTGCTCAAATGCACGAGCGATAAGGAACTATGACCGGAAGATGCATATTATTGTACAGGTTTTGGACATATGGAGAGATATTTATATCTCTCTACACGGATTTCGTATAAAGTTAACACCCGTTTAGATTGCTAATATTTGTATATTCGGGATTTTTGTTGTTGTTGCACAAAAAGGGTATACGCTGAAAAAAAAGCGCATTTCGTTGAGCAAGTTGCTTCTACCATAGTGAGAGCGTGTGAAAGGTGAATAATGCAGCACTATTCAGTCGGACTACCGTTGTACAGATGCATTTTCAAGACACCGGCCTGGTGAAGTCTGGTCAAATAATTTCCACGACCCTCGCGAAGAGAGCGGGGGGGAGCCTGACATCCGGCAGTGGATTGACGAAAGGGCTGAACGTGTGCATGTGTTTATTAAACAGGGGGCACCTATTTGTTTATGATGCGGTAGTACGCGTATCGACACGCGTGTGAGTCGTGCTAAGTCATGCATTTCCTCGACAGAACACACGGTGGTGGCTTTTTGTTTGTATTAATCTAGGGTTATGACTTCCCATTCGTAATGTAAAAAGGGAAAGCGCGTGCCTGAATGACTCGCTGTGTATGTTCGTGATTACAGGGCACGGTTATCAACAATCCTTGCAAAGTGCTTCAAGGCGCTTTCGGATATTCGTGAGTGTATTTGTTCCAGTGCAGGGCAGTTTTCCAATGTACTGCATCACGAATCATTTTAGCATGTGCTGTAATTACTGTGCTTCATCCAGCTCAGCGACATCTGACTGAATTGCTTTCATCCAGCTCAGCGACATGTGGCTGAATTGCAGTCAGCGACATGTGGATGAATTGCATTCAGCGACATGTGGATGAATTGCATTCAGCGACATGTGGATGAATTGCATTCAGCCACATGGTCAACCTCCATGTGAATGGTTGACAGGCAAAAGATCCAATCTTGATTTGAAGCTTTCGTGACTGCAGGAATCCCATACTCTTTGGTGCTTTCGGTAAAGTCACGTAGGTATAAAATAAAATAAGTCACGACGTTTCGGGCGCAACACAAGCGTCCGTCATCACCTGATGACCTGATGACCGACGCCCGAAACGTGATTTATTTTATTTCATACCTACATGACTTTACAGAAAGAACCAAAGACAAAGATCCCCCGCATAGCCTGTAACAGACTGTTGTGGCAAGTGCTGTTAGCGAGTAGCGCACATATTAAGGCCGGCACGGCACACGAGGGGGTGGGTGGTAGGGCTGAACGATTCGGGGAAAATATCTAATTGCGATTTTTCTGACAGATTGCGATTTGATTTGCGATTACATTTTTAAAAGTCAAGCTTCAGTTCAATATTCACCGTGTAAGAGATGTAAAACACGTGTGATGGAGCATAACCACATGATACCATCAAAATATGAACCGCTCTATATATTCTAATGCAAGGATGAGAACTTAAAGTATATGAATTGCTTCCAACATGTATTTATTGAAATGTTTTAATTGAAATAGAACAATCAAACATAGAGCAATTGTTAAGTTAAATAAATAAAGGTTTAATAAAAAAATATAACAATTCCAATAAGAAAGTAATAGGACTTTTCAAATCGCAAATAAAAGTAGCTTTTGCGATTTGCTCATCGCATTGTTTTAAATCGCGATTTCGATTTGAAATCGATTAATCGTTCAGCTCTAGTGGGTGGTCAACACCACGCCCGGCCGGCTTTATCTCCCCAGTGGCAATGTGTACACACCGCACCATGTACTCGTTTGAGGCGGAGTCGACCTAGGAGAGGCCCAGGACCGGTTCATATAATCGCCACTGGTGTTGGCCATTAGCGGGAATCGAACTCGGGTCGCTGGGTTCATAGCGCAGCGCGCTAACCGCTACACTACCGCTTCCCACATTACATAGAGCATTATGGCTGTGGGCTTTACCATCTTTCTATGCGAATGAATGGGGGTTAATGAATCGGAGATTATTCTATCCAGCATTTCATTAGGTTTAAGTGCTTACAATGATATTCTCAGCAGTTTATAACTTTAGGGGTAACCCTACCTTATAGGAGAAACAAGTCAATCTCAAGAACCGTAATATTTGGAGGCACGCATTCTAAAATGTAGTTCATTTCAGATTTTTCGAGTTATTCGCATAGACTCTCCCATGTTGATGTGGTATAATGGTTAGCCCACTGGACTTGTGATCCACAAAGGTCGACCGGTTTGCTACGATCTCCCGTCGTGGCAGTTGAAGCAATGGTTATGTTTCTTAGCATAAATGGAAACGCCACTTTTAGTTGATGGACAGGTTCGGCACAACGTGGGTAATCCCACCTCTTCCAAGATGTCTGACCAGCATGGAAGAAGATACCAAGCATCCACTCGAGTTCTCTTGAGCAACCTGTATTCTCGGAGGCCCTTTCGCTAGCAATGGCACGGTGGCTACGTCCTGTGCGAAATAAGTTAAGCGTATATACATACAACCAATTGCAGGACTGTACATTTTACTAGTGCCAAGTATCGACAACTATATACAGTAGATGAAAATTTCGTTTCCTAATCTTCTAGGTCATCGGTAGAATGAAATTCGTCAACTATGCCATATCATTTACAAGTCCGCGCACATTTCGCTGATTTTGGTGGGTGTATTCTTGTGACGGACAACCGAGCATTATAACCAGGTGAGAGCCCAGTGAGACCCAACATATATTTCAAGGGATACTAAAACAAGTACAGCATCAGTGATCGTGTACACGTTCAATAAAACGCAACATAATCCAATAATGACTTGACAATTACATTTAATGCCAAGGTACAGCTTAAAATATTTATTGACAAGATTCAGATTTGAAGAAAATATATGCAATGTGTACTTTATTAATTAATATTACAGTAAATTCGTACTAAACAGCTCAAATGTGTACATTATATAGTTTTTTTTTAAGAATCAGTCTGTACGGTGCCCAAGAGGTTAAACATACATACATGTGTGCATATGTGTAAAGTCCTTTTGTTAATCCACTACTAGATGAGGGCCTCCCCACACCGTGAGTGTTAAGGGGCTGTTTGGCCATACTTCATTACGCTTGTCTGTGTGAATTGGTGAAGGCGAGGAGCAAAGAAGTGGGAGTATAGTGCAGTACAAAACATTATTTTCCTGCAACGCCCCCTACTGCCTGACAAGTATTCCTGCCATAACCAATAACGTCTTTTATTCATGGTCGTCGTTCATCCAAGTACTATCTTGGCTCAATCCTGCGTACCTTCCGAGATGTGATGAGATTGCGTGAATTATGGTTATGAAGTAAAGCTGAAAAAGTACAAAGGTGCAGCCCTGAAATTTCTTGCTCATGCCACGGCTAACGGAATGGCCCCCACTAGAGGGAGCCCTCGAGATCCCCTCTAGAGGATAGTTGGCCTACTCATCCACACTGACCAGACGTTTTTTAAGACGTGGGAGCACCCATATGTTATTAAGTATGAGTATTACATTTATTTTGCAGGGATCGACAAGGCTGGCCAAGTGCACAGCGCTTTTGGGATGAGGAGTTGGTCTGTGCTGCTGCTGTGGGAGTGAAGAAGCCGCTCCCTTTGCCTGCACAACCTGCCCCATGATGACCTTCCAGAACCGCTTTGTTCTGCTGCTGGGTCTCGCCGCCTTGCTGGCTGTCATCAGCCTGAGCCTGCAATTCTGTGAGCATCGTCATTTTTCACATTGCCTTGTATTGCAGTCAGTGTCAAGGCACAAGGTGAAATATTAATTAGTCGGTTACAGAACCGTCTACAATAAAATAAAAAATGTGTCATGTGCCTGGTGTTTCTATTGTTGGCCTTTCTTACCACTGTGTAGGTGAATGCGATTGTGTTGTATAGCTGTCCAAAGTGTGTTTTCAGGTTGGACCGCGTGTTGTTCGGGGTGACTGTTAGCTCCCACCACTTGGAGTGAAACGTCGGGCATCGTGCCCCCGGCACAACCTAAAAATGCATCTTGGAGATTTCTTACTGCAACCACAAGACCGTATTCTTGTCGTTTAACATATTCGTCAATAACACTGCATTTAAATGAAAATATAATAGGTGCCATTTCTGGCAATGGTCCTCAGTACAATAATTTAAAATAGACAATGTACCATGAAGAAGAGCCATTGGCCGAAACATTGCCTGTTATATTTTTTTCTTTTAAGGTTGTATCATTGACAAATGTGTTAAGCTCTTTGTTGTTTGTGCCCGTGCACCACTGTCAATGCAGTTTCACCAAATAATTTGTTCCACGTTTAGACAAATTAACACTTTGTCTGTATACTGGGAATTACATAAAGCTTTGAGGACATCTGAATTTAATTGAACACGACCACTATTTTTATTATTTTGTGCAGTCGTTGGTGATCATCAATGGGGGGAAATGGTGGTTTGGGTTGGATGGGATGCAGGTTTATTTTGATTGTCGCTCGCAATGCACCCTCTCGTACAATATAGAATATTTAAATGTTCAAACATTTTCTAATGAAGTGGGAACTGACCCCATATACTGCATACAATCCGTGCTCTTTAGTCACCCACACACGCCACAGTATATTGACCTTTTAAGGTGCAGTCAGTAAATCTAGTCTTAATAGAATAGCTGTGCTGCAGAGAAAGGCTGTCACTGTGTTGATTTCCTTGGGGCCAATTGCTACTCCCAAACATTTTCCAGTGGCGACATTGCCTCTGCACCTGTGCATTTTTCTGCAAGCATACCACACCCTGAATTTAGTAGTACCTAAGGGTGGGAACACAGCTGGTACATTTTCACTGTGGATCATTCCATTTCAGAAAAGGCTGAAACGAACATTTGGCAGAGTGCACACATTCCGGTAAATGTATGCAGTGTGTAGGATTTCTGGGTTCTGTTGCTCTTTCTTTTTCATTTTTAGATTCTTAATGTTTTTTTGGGTATGACCAAAGTGAGCCTTTATTGGATTTATTTTCACTTGGAAATCAATCCAGTCCATGGCTAATTAGTACTCAGAATGCATATTCACACAGCTGCACTTGTGATTCATGGTGGGTGACGCATTTACAACCACGATTACGTTTGCATGAATGAAAAATGGTATGGTTCTTACATATGAGAACCCAAGAGCTCTTTACTCATTCCATCTCTCAGATTGCCCATGCTACCCTAAAATAATAGTCAAAGCCCACCCATGTTGTTACATTACAGCTAATAGCAGTTGGTTGCCATAGAATTCGTATCATATGCCATTGGCTAGTTTCTTGTGGTGAGCTTGCCTTGAATAGAACATATTGATGGTTCATAGTAAAATTGAGTGCCTTAAATAGGAAATGTAATTTTTATTTGTTTTCTGTTTGGACGGTTTATGCTAGATTAGATATGAAATATAGGCTTACTGTTGGATTTGTATTCTATTTTTACACCGTTGTATTGAGGTTAAACTAATTGTGTTCGTACGGCTAATTACTTGTGAGCATGTGTTTTTGCGTGTTGTTTTTAATCACGACTCAGTACAACTTAATGAATGATCATAATTTGCTACCACAACACACAATAATGAGTGACAGGACTTGTGAACGGGCAACGCAGGTGTCAAAATCATCAGCTGTATTTTATTTTCTTTCCCAGTTCGGCTCATTCCCCTGCCCGTGGGGTTCTACGGGGAAGAAGAGGCCAAGCCTCGCAAGCGGGTGCTGATAGATGGCTTGCTCAAAGCTCCGCAGGCTCTCGACCCCATCACGGAGTCTGTGTACTACTGTAACCGGCCCAACGGCAGCGTGCAGGGACTTGAGGGTACGATCCTGTCTCTGCGCAGGAGTAATTCTATATTGCTCTGTAGGTTTTCGCGATTGTGTTCTACAGCTGTCTGATGCATTTTAAGGTTGTACCACGTGTTGTTCACCACGATGTTCTACATGTGCTGGGAACTTTTTCGGGAACTGATATGTGGAGCTTGTTGAAGAGCTAATGTGTTTTTTGATTGTACACACAGTGGAACTCGCAAACACATCACAAAGCTCATCCATAACTCTGCTTGGTCATGAAAAAAACTGGAAACTGAGCTGTTGCATTTTGTTTTGTATTTACGATCACAATGCAGACGGTTTTGTTGTAAGTAATGTAAATTTTACCGTTAATACTCCATGTGCTAAATTCAAATCCATACCTTATCGTGGTTATAAAAATATTAATTGACTGTTATTCTATTCACAGACTAATTCATTTAATGGTTTTCATTGCAGAGTTTTTACGTGCGAAAATAAAAATGTTACAGTTACACAAAGCAGGTATTAAAATAATTTAGTACAAAACCTCATTGAGTCCTGCAATGGATCATTTTGTGTAATAAAACATACAGTTGCTCTGTATCTCCAAATAAATTTCAAATGTGTTTTAGTCCCACTGGCTTTCCAGACCACTTTTTACCTTTAATTTAGGATTTTTTTTTTACCTGGATAATCCCTTGATGCAGCAGCTCATTTAAAAGGGTGTCCAGTGTGTCAAGTGACATTGATACTAATCAGCACCTGCCCAAGCATGTGCAAATGTTGGGACTGAGTATGGCCCCCCGGGGGGCCCACCGCCATAGCCAGGCACACCAAACAAACACCGCTGCTGGTTTACCAGATGCCGTCGGCAAGTGCCCCCTCCCCCCACACCGCTTGACAAAGAGTGCGTGTTGAGTGTTTTTTTACATGTCTTGTTTTTTGTGCTAACGACCCATGTGGTGTGGATGAGGGCCATTTGTCAATGGTATATCTGGCAATGCAGCGCTGTTTGTTTGATTCACCTGCCTCTGCTGGTGGACTCTACAAGGGTGAAGCCAGTCCACAGTTTCTGCGGTTAGGCAGGTGGTGCTGGCTAGCATGCGTGTGGAAGGCTGGTAAGTCCATGGACAAATACATGTTGTAATTAAAATTGCTATTGTTGTTCCCTTTAGGTCACGCCCCTGTAGGATTCAAACTGGAAGCAGCTCACATCATGATACGACACGGAGACCGCTACCCACTTTACGCCATCCCTAACGCAGCCGCCTTAAACATCGACTGCAATATCAGGACTGATAGGTGCTAATGAAATGTAGCATAATTGAATAAGCCGTGTGATAACATAACCTATTCACACCTTACTTTATAGTACAATTTGTGCGGCAAAGCGTCACCATTCACGTATTCCATGGATGGATCCTTGTGGCATTATGGCATCACTAGCACATTGTCATTGTGACATCATGACAGAAAGCGGGAAGCAGTAGTTCAGCCTTTACATTGGTTGTCAGTGTAAAGTGTAATAACTACACACACTCATTGAACACAAGTGGCGATGCTAATTTTGATATTTTGCAATACATCACTCTGCTGGCGCCTCTTCAAGTGCATGCATGCTGCAGGCCTCGTTTTGCTTAATTGGTTTTATTGCAGTGAACATAATTTGTGTAATCCAAATATCACATGCATTTGTGCATCCACTCTATTTTTATGAAAAAGAATATGGACAAGTAGAGCCCTTTGACAATTCACTGCTGGATTGAAGTCTCGCTACAGTGTGCAGGTCATAGGGGTTATTTGACCATTACTTTATTGTCTTGGTTATTACAGATGAGTGAAGGTGGGGATTATAGATGCAGGAGCATAGATATATAGTACAAAAAATATTTTTTTCTGAACTACCATCTGCTGCTTGTAATGTGTAAAATGTAATGTCATAAAAAACGGCCACCTTGCAATATACATTCGTGCGTTTGTTATGTAGTGAAGGAAAGCATTGCCAACAGGTGAGATTCGTAGTGATTAATCGATTATGTTTCATTCTTAGACTGATGAAATATCCATCATATTATGCGTGTGAGAATTATTTTTTTACAAACCACGCAGATTATATGAAAAGGGTACATGTAGGTTATTGGAACAAAAAAAAGACAGCAAATAACAAAATAGAGTGTAAACGTAAGAGAAAAAAATGTTCTTAAATTAATTTGCAACTCAAATCAACAATTCAGATAATTGTGCCAATCTTTCAATGCCGACTAATAACTTTAATAGGCAATGTCCCTATGAAATATATAGAGGGCTTTTAAAATAAAATAAAAATGTATATACATTTTTTATGTTCTTGTAGATATTGGATAATTTATTGCGCAGTTTATGTTTGTCACCTGAAATATAAATGAAAAGGGATTACGGACTCCAGTTATGGCCAGTTAAATGCCACGAGAGATTCACAAAGGATAATTTGCCAAAGGAAAAGTTAAAACCATACAAATAACACAACAAAAAAATATTTTCGCCTTGTAAAGACCCGTTTAATGTTTTTTTGTTCTAAGTGCCACTGCCTCATTCATTTCAATATTACACCTAAACGCAATCGCCCCGCTCCACCCAATCGATTAGCACGATCCCTGATGGTTGTATTTCCTCTCCACGTTTTGCAGGGCACCCTTTCATCGGGCGCTGGAGGGATTTGTGGCTCACATGGCACAAGCCCGTGAAGGCCGCTTTGACGGCCCTTTGGCGGGGTTCCCACTGCTGCCCAGCCACCCCCGCTGTGAGATGGGCCAACTCACACAGACAGGTCCGTTGCACTTATCACACCTCATCCATTGTGGGCCGAGCTGGAGGGAATCCACGGACTATATGTGTAATTGACTTTTCATCTCAAATGATATTTGGGCAATGCGTGCTTCTCCCGTTTGCAGCCCTTGAGCCCATCGTTTGAAATCCCACAATCCTATGGCAGGGCGCAAGGATTAACCGTAAGAAAACAATGGAGAAAAATAATGCACATGCTTGCATCTATCGTGTAACATTTACCAAAAGGTACTTATCCTTAGAAGTATTTAACTCGCAATGATGTCATACCGAATGACGTCATCGGGAGGGGAGGTAAATGGCCTCCACCTGCAAAGTGTTGTTGGCGATGTAAATCCTTTTACTGCTGGTGCTTTTTATCTGGGTTTTGGCCAATTCTTATATCACTTTTGCCTAATCTTTAACAGCAACACCACTAGATACAAGGGTTTGTTGATATTGGATATTTTTTATTAATGTTATTTTGCCCCCTAGTTTTAGGCAGACGAACAGAGCTAATGCATCATTCACGTTTTCAGCCTCAGTTGGAAACCTTGAATACATGTTGGCTTCCCACTAATTGGTAATCAATTATACCTACTCCAAAAGAAATTAAAGACTGAGTGAGCATTTCAAATTACAACCTTCCATTTGTGGAGCTGCGCCTATCTTCCTGTCGTGAGCTCTCACTACGCTATATTGCTTTGACAAAACAACACGACAAGGCAATGATACTGATCGATTCCCGCTCTCGCAGGTGTGGTCCAGCACCTGATGATTGGCCAGCACCTGCGGCAGACCTACTCAGACCTTCACGGCCTGCTCCTCAAACACGAGTCCGAGTCGGAGCGCGTGCGCGCCGCGTACGTCGAGTCGACGGGCCGTGCACGCACTCTTCAGAGCGCGCTGGCCCTGCTGTACGGCCTGCGGCCCGCCTTCGACTGGTCGCGCCTGCGCGTACACCACCAGCCCTCGGCCTCCTACTGCTACGCGGCGTGCGAGTGCCCCGCCCGCAGCGCTTTCCAGGAGCTGGACCAGCGGCGGCAGTCTCGAGCGCGATCTCGCGACCCGCAGCTGGCGCGCGCCTTCCGAGACATGGCCTCGGCGCTGGACGTGCCGCCCGCCAGGCTGCGCGCCGCGGTACCCGTCGACCCGCTGTTGGCGCACTTCTGCCACGGCGTACCGTTCCCCTGCGCGACGTCGTTGCCCTCGCCGCCGCCGCCGCCGCCCCAGCGTTCCGGCTGCGTGTCCGAGCAGCACTTCCGCACGCTGCGCGCCCAGCAGTTGGTGGACGAGAAGGAGCGCAGGGAGGCCGGGCTCTTCCGGCGCTTCGCGCTGCTCGTGATGCACCCGTTCCTCAACCGCACGGCGCAGCGGCTCGGGGCGGTGGCTGCCGGCAAGCCCGCGGAGAGACTCGCCCTGTACTCGGCGCACGACGTCACGCTGGAGCCCGCCCTGAGCGCGCTCGGACTCGCCGGCGCCCGTTTCCCTCGGTACGCGGCGCGCCTCGTGTTCGAGCTCTGGAGGAAAGAAGACAAGGGCAGGTTGGCCGGCGGAGCGGATGTCGGAGGGCACTTCATCCGCGTGCTGTACAACGGCGAGGATGTCACCTTTAAGACCGCATTCTGCCAGAATCACGACTGGAAGCGTGGCACCGGATCACTGCTCTGCCCGTTTCAGAAATTCCTCGACTTTGTGTCAAGAGATATGTTTGCGCCCTTCAATAGCACAAGCTATTATGAAGCCTGCCACCACATTCCACAGCCAGATGCTGACATATAGTCCAATTACTATTGAGAGCAAGCATTCCTCACTGAATGTTGGTTTACCCAGTAAGTTGTCAGGTATATTGTGCATTGGATGTGTAAATGAGATGTGGTATTTTGTCCTGTTCAATATAAATGTCCACATTGTAAGTGAAAAAAATATGGTTTATTTGAATAGTTTTGCCTACAATTTTTTTCAGAATTATCCAGAAAGGTATAAACTGATTGTTATTATCAAAAAGACTACACCCATGTGACATTACCTTCCCACCTTTATTATTTAGTCTTGTGTTAGCTGGAAAAAAAAGTCCACATGCCACTGATATTTATAACGTGGCTTTAAATCTCCTAAACCATATTTAAAAATAATACACGGTTAATAATTACATAATATGCCCATAAACATCCAGTGTTAATGTGTAGTGTACAAACAGTAAATCCAGCGTGGTATTGGTAATGTGCTCATTAGTGCAGCAAAAGCGAGTTTATTACCAGTGTCTTTTCTTTACTGGTGTCTAGAGTTTACCATTTATATATTTGCATTTTAAAAGGCATCCATGTCATTATTTGTTTAAACCAACAAAACATATACCATTAATAACAACACATTAGGTTTACTGTAAAATAAATTCAAGCCATCCTTTCAATATTCTTAACCAACGTATAACAAGCATGCGACAACTATGTGACTACCGAGTATTAATGGAATCTTATTAATTGAACGCAACAATGGGCTCTTAATAACTTTATCAACCTCTTGTATTGCTATGCAGCAGGTAATGCAATGAGTATTTGCTTCATAGTGACATCTTCGAATTTCGGATCGGCATAACTGTTTAAATGTTAAATCATTTTTGGAACTTTTAAGCTTCGTGAAGGGTTTATGTAACATTTTTGCGTGCACGTTTTTTTTCTTGTTTAAAGGAATGTTATATATTTGAATGTGTTTTAAAGGTCACATTTTGCTATGTTATATGGCATAATCTACAGTCAAACACAAAGAATATGGGTAGGGCTCTTAGGTCAGGTGGTATACAATAATGCTTGCCAGATAAGGCTTGCACAACCACTTGTGAATGCTTGTACGCGATGCAGAACATTCCACAGTATTTTTGGAGAATATTGCTTGGGCCATTGTTTCACGAAAACACAATTCAGCTTTGTCCGAGTTGATTGTGTTGCAAGCATACTTGGCAAAGGAGGGACATGGGCAGCTGAAGTTGAGAACAGGTAAAACTGGAAACATTGAGCCTTGCCGCTTACTAATGAATCGTAACATGCAAATACCCGAAGGATACACAAAGCCAATCGATTAGCTGTCCTGCTCGATGATACATGGCTCTTCACAGGACATCAGTCAAACAGTTTTGGTTGAAACCTAGAAGCTTGTGCGGTCAGAGACTCGCACGTAATACGTGATTGGACTCCGGCCAATTGCGAGATTCCTTGGAGCCCAACATTGGTTGGCTTGCACTGTTGTGTGAGGTTTACAGTTCAATTTTATGGTTTACATTCGTTTTCAGACGCTATGAAAGTAACATTCTTGAGTGCTGCGTATTCAAGGTGCCCCATGCACATTAGCAGATTAAGTGGTGCTTCAAGTGGCTGCGTCAACATTACATTTTTACTTAAAATAAATTAACATACAAGATGCCTCCTTCCCATATGTGCCCCTCTACGTAAAAAAAAATATAAAAGTATTATTTTCACATCCTATCAGCCACATGGCCTTCTCAGTGCATTTGGTTGAACACAAGCCAACTAAGTATCGATTTTGACATTCAATATCTTAGCAGTCAGGCTTGCTTGAACCAATGCAGGTGAACTGCCAGGTGTTTCAAAGCAAGGACCCTTTCTGATAGATATGGGTCCTGGTTCCATACAAAATTATACAATACGTATCAAAATAATAATTATCAATAGCATCTTAGAGAACGTAAGAAAATCATAAAGGGGGCATTACGCCTCCTTCCCAAAGCTTTCCTTCCACGTGAAAAACAAAATTATTTTTACACATCCCATCAGGCAGTGTGCCTTCTGGGAGTGCATAGTTTTATACCGATAAAAGGAAAAAGGACGTAACATCGTTGCAAAACTTGTTTTTTTTCTGCTAAAGCTTTGACAGGTATTTTTGCTAAAGTAAAGTGACGAATCGTAACATTTACACAGTGTACTCATCAGCACAGGATTTTGTGCACTTAGAAACCCCATGATTTTGTAAAAATTGTGAATGGATTAGACGAATGATCGAGTATAATTTTCACTAGTTTTTTTTTCTTTTTACATATAATCAAATGCTTTAGTTCTTGGTGTTTTTTTCGAAAGACAGTGAATTATTTAAAACCACTTAATGTAAAACTAGCATTAAGTATGTTCTTTAATCTTCGTGATTGACATAAGCAGAGTGATATATTTGTGTTATTGGATCCTAATATTTTGCTACTGGTGTTGTAAAAAGAGAGTTTAATATTTAGCTAGTTAATGGTATGACTTTTGAAAAGCTGCTCGTCCAACCAGAGCTGTACATTTTAACAAGCGTGGACTGACAGTCAGGGTACCATAGGTAATGCAAGTGAATGATGCATTCCGTTCATTTTTCGTTTAAGTTTTGAAAGTGCAATATTTTTTTTACACTTCAAATTGAATCCAACAATTGCATTTCATTTGTGTATCGTTGGCACCACTGGGCCAGTGGCGGCTATGCACGTGGCCTGTAATCCAACACTGGAAACGGGGGTTGGTGGATCACGCAGATGTTGGAAGCTGCCTATCTGGGATATAATGTTTCCCCCTCGCATGCGTTGGTTTTCTCTGGGTGCTCAGGTTACCTGCCGTAGGTAAATACTCAGTAATTGGCTGATAACACCTTAACCCTTTTCCGTTCCATGACATACGTGTCCTTTCCGATTCTGTACGGAGTCGAAGCGATTCTAAACGGAATCGGAAGGAAAAGGCCATTCGGGAGGGGCGCGTGGCACAGTTTGGCGCCAGCTGTCGTATAGTGCGGTTGTGTCGCAAACAGTTCTGTGCGGTGAGTAGAGTACGCTATCGTTAAAAACAGTAGCGCTGTGCCTCTAGATACAATTAACGCTCACCGATTGGACATTCCGAGATTCAGCCGTGAACGAGACGCAACCTGCAGACGTCTCGGAGTGGGAAAGGGTTTAAATTTAGACGACCGCAGAGCTTGGGCAATTGTTGGTACTGGTTTAGCACCTGGCTGCCTTTCCCGCTTGTCTGGTTTCTCTCTTCAAGGGTGAACAAAAACTGTACACGTGAGTTGAAACTATTATTATGATCATACTTCATGTCCTCAAGGAATCAACTTTGTTTTTAGGTTCCTAACTTCATCTGCATGTCATAAGTTAAGCGCTGTGTAAGTTAAATATGTGATATGCATTGTCTCGTAAATTACAAGACTCTGTATATATGTGCTCTATTGAGTGGTTAATAATTTGTTTTGATAGCATTGCTGATTTTTTAATAGGCTTGGTTCATCCCATCTGTTAGGATTCCACAAGGTTCTGGGAAACTTGAATGATGCTGAGAAAGAAACCCGCTAAGAAGCTGAGTAACGAAGATTTATACCATAACACAATTCTAAGCGCATTATGTATTGAGGAAACGTGTGCAATTTGTTTCGTCTTTGAAAATTCTAAGGTATTATATCTACAAAATTTAGCTATTTTGGAAGAATATTTATTTTATTAATGATTGCTTTTTATTGTAATCCATTGTATTTATTTTATTCACAACCATTGGTGAGCTATTTGCCTTCATAATGCAACCAACTTGTCTATCTGGTGCAGAACTGAGAAATATGTAGAGCTACGTTAGGAAGTGGCTGACATGTTAACTTTTACAGTCTACTGCACATTGTTATACCCCCATGCAGGAATATTAATAATTTAGTATTTGGAGCTATGCCCAGCAACATTTAGCCGTTCATATTCTTGGTTCTTTCGGTAAAGTCACGTAGAAGGGAAACAATAAAATAATAAAAGTATAAAACAATAAAATTATCACGACGTTTCGACTGCAACACAAGCAATCACATCATCAGGTGTGAAAAGAAAATTGTATTGTTTTCACACCGGATGATGATTGCTTGTGTTGCAGTCGAAACGTCGTGATAATTTTATTGTTTAATGTTTGTATTATTTTATTGTTTCCCTTCTACGTGACTTTACCGAAAGAACCAAGAATATGAATCCCTGCAGTCACGAAAGCTTTAAATCAAAATTTAGCCGTTCCTCATATCAACAGTGCCCTATGGAGTCGACGTGATTATTAAAGGCTTAAACTGGCTGCAACTGTCAATTTGACACATGACGTGCAATATCTGTAATTATTGAAGCTTCTATTTACGGATTAACCAACCGTCGTTTTTCTGTCTTAATTTTGACTTCGTCGCTGTTTATTTCAAGGCTAATGAGGTATATTGATCACAATGCTTAACCATTCCCTGTTTTTCTTTCTCAGCATCAATTTAATGTCCTTGATTTTTTTTATATCACAACGTATAATTAAATGAGCAGACATTTCACATTGTGTTTTATGTTTTCTCTCTAAGTGCAGTAAATATGATCTATTTTGAAACTGCACAATGTAGTGTGAAAAAAATATAGCGCTATTTTCTTGCCATTGGTATCATTCTAATATGTATTTTAAAAAAAGAACAGTATACGTACCTCTTTCATCGTGCCAACGTCCAGCAGATGTTGGACCTGTAATTTTCAGCAGTGCTATTGAGACACCAATAGTAATGTTTTTTTTTTTACAAATGATAGAAGAAAGTTATATTTTACATACCTTCCGGGTTTTGCTGTATTTCCTATGATATAGTTGATTGTTAATAATTATAACATTGATCTGTCTGGCATAGTAATATAATCGACATTGATTTACCAATAACCACTGACTGTTGCTTGATAGTGGAAGACTTTAACCGATGGTACGTTTGCCACTTTGAATTCATTTTCTCTTTCATTGTAATTGCAATGGTGACATTTGTGAGTGGTGCTGTTTATGATGGTAATTCCGTGTTATGGACATGCATATTTTGTCAACAAATAGTAACAGCAAACCAGCCTTTTGCACACAACCGAAGTAGGTGTCTGCATAGGTAATAATCAAATGTTTGACTGCTGTGTTGACTACTGTAATGAGTTCACATAAATCACGGTGTCTCTTCCTCCCTTATCCAGAACCTTGAGGGCGGCTCTTTCAAGGCAACCTGCATCGTATTTGCCACGGAGTTTTTCACGGTTGTGCTGTATAGTTCTCCATTATCTTTTTTGTTGTTGTACCATGCGTTGTGTGGCAAGGTGGCCCGATGTTTCACCACCTGCTGGAATTTTTTTCCGATTCAGTCCCTGGGAGCGAAACGTCTGACAATGCCGAACAATGCATGTCGCAACCCAAATATACGTCGGAGAGCTAGACTGTACAAGTGCTTGCTTGGAAGGGTGTACAGTAGACTTTTGGAGGCCCACATTTATCCAGCAGCTGTGGTTTCTTAAACTTACACTTGATCTGACTGTCTACCCATAAGGTCACTGAAAAAAATACACGGCTGCTGGCTACATTTGCTAACATTGGAGGTGTGGAGTGGGGAGCATTGAAAGAGGTATTGTGAGGACATTCCAGTATTGCTCTTGTAATTCACCATTCCTAGCACCGAGACATTGTGCTGATTAATCGCTGCTTGGTTTGCTGTGGCTCTCGTCTGTATCCATTGTGTGAAAATGTAGCAATAGAAAACGTGGTCCCACAACTCATGCAATAAAAGCCATTGCTTTCGGGCGCCTTCCGAGTGTGATTCGTGCATGTGGCAGTGCTGCCACCAGGTGGATGCGATTGGTAAAAACAATGCAAGGTGTCTCGTTGAAGCACAACGCAGTACTCTTTTCTTCAGAATATTCTCCTCTTTGTCCAATTGTGTGGTCATTTTAAATTGATAAAAAAAAATATGATGTGTTACCCGGCCGCGGTGTCTACTTTATAATTCACCGCAAGCTATTTTGTTGGCAAACTTGTGAACATGGCCAACCCTTTGGTAATTCCACGGTTGGATGAGGGCCTCCCTGCACCGTGTGGGTTGTGGGAATTTTTTTGACCATACTTCATCATTTTGGTCAGTGCGGAGTGATGAAGGAAGAGGGTATGTATCGACGTTTGAGAACAGTACAATCACGATTCTTTTGCACAGCCCACTACTGACAATATAGCTCCTTGCTGGTCAGCACAAATTGAATACAGGGACTCCTCTGCTTACGAGCGAGTTAGGTTCCCGAGGTCTGTTCCTAAATAGATTTGTTCGTAAATCCAACTTTATTCCTATTGATTCCAAACTTGTACGGCATGCACACTAACCACGGGAATGTAGATGCCACTGGTTCTTCATGGTTTGCAGATGTAGATGCAACCACCGCCATCTATTGCGTGGCGGTTGAACTTACGACTCTCGATCCGAACAGGCAACTGGACATACGGACAGGTTTGTTCGTATCTCTGCAAGTTCGTGGGTCCAGTGTTCGTAAGTAGAGCAGCCCCCGTGTTGCAAGGTTAGAGCCACGTGGGGTTTTAGCCATTTTCGTTCACTTTTTGCGATGCATTCCTTTTCTTTGCACGGGTCGTTGCAACAAGACAAACACATCAATGAGCTCTCGCCAGGATTATATGCAGGGCATTACCAACACCCCCGTTACAAAATAGATGTTCTGTACTTTTTTAGGCTGTTGTAGTGTACAGATATGGCAGTAATATTCAGAATTCTTCATTGTAATTTCACACCACTCGCTGCGTCTAAACTGACCCACTGGTGGGCACTCCCGAATTGCTGATGTTTACACACCGCAACCAGGTACTCATTTAAAGCTGAGCCCACCTCGCGGAGGACCCAGGACCCTTTCAGATACTCGTCACTAAATATTGGCGGTGAGCGAGAATCGAACGCGGGTCGCCGGTTCGCTAAACACTAGGCTACCGTTCCCTATACACAATATAATTTACGTCGTGGAGAATATAACAAATGCGCAATTTCGCCTTCAAGATTTATTTTTTTGTTGAAGTCAAACTAGGACTCATAACCAAGGTTACCATAGGTCGCGAAAGCCTGCGTATTAAATCGAAATAGGACCCCTATCGTAAAGAGACAGGGTCCTTGCCTATAAGATGGGCAGTTCGCCAACATTGAGTCATGCAAGCCCGTGACTTTGCTGGTGAGCCAGTGCTCAGAGTTAATATTCCTATGACAGGGACAGCACACACGTGGTTAAAATGCAGAAAAACCTGTATTATGGATGCATTCGTGTCAATGAAATCTTCCGCCAGTTCTTGTACAGCGATAATGTCACTGACCCCACCCCGTGTAGACATCGGTGAAAAGGAGTTGCATAGCTCATTGGATTCCTCGAGGTAATATTCTGAATCTGTAATCTCAAGATTCACGTCGGGTAAAGTCTATCATGGTGTCACTGTCAGCCGAACCCTTTTCACTTCAAGGGGGGGAAACAATCGGCCAAAATCGCGTGACGTCATTTATGGACAGCCCCTTAGTAAAAAAAGAGCTTAATAGCTCATCCGATTTCTCCAGGATAAATATTCAGATTCTGACCTTGTTGCAAAGTGACCCCACCCCCCTCCGCCCCGCCCCCCTCTCCGGGCCCCGCCCCCCTCCGCAACCCCCCCTCCCCGGGCCCTCCCCCCCAGGGCCCCACCCCCAGGACCCCCCTCCCCCATCCGTGGCCCAAACGACCTCCAAAACAAAAAAAACATTGAACCCCAAAAATTTGACCCCCCCCTACCCCCGCGCGGGTGACGTCACTCGCACGGAACCCCCGCGCGTGACGTTCACGCCAAACCCCGCGAGCACGTGATGGCCGCGCGACCAATGGCGACCCTTGGTCTCCGCCCACGACGGCGTGACGTCACCGCGGGAAATCCTCCGCGCCGCCACGTGGTTCCGGCGGGATCGGCTGCGCTAATTTTTTTGTGTGTTTGTGTGTGTATGGGTGGGGGGGGGTGACCCTTTACAACAACAGAACAATTTTATTTTTTTTGTACGCAACGTATTTTGTTCTTCTCCTTTAAAATAAACTTTGCACCGTGTGTTATCAGATCACACGTTTAGTCGGGTAAACACAAAAAAATGGACGGCGGCAAGACTCTGGCTGCTGCGGGAGCTGCTGGTGCCGGCGTGGGCATAGCCGTCGGGATGCTGTACAGATTTGCGAAACGGTATGGCACGGGGTTTTTTTTTTTAACAGTGTGGCTGCCTGCCCACTTGTCGCACGCGTCCGTGCACTCAGCTCTCTTGCTGTGCCGTAGTGGGGGACCACACACACACACACTGCCGATGCTGTGTGTGTGTGTGGGCGTGGGGGGGGATCACTTAATCGCGATGTTAAGGATCGACGTCCTGCTCTGTAAAGCGCTGTTTTCGAAGGGAGGCATCGGTTAGCAATGGTAGCGCTCAGTTTGCGCCTGACGCGGTTATCTTTCACTTGAACCCCATCCCCAATGTCACATCGTAAGAGTTGTTGCTTTTGGCTCTGCATCTAACACGAGCGACGCGAAGGAGGACGCATAGCTCCCCGCGCGTGTTTGTGTGTGTGCTCGCTGCGCTCTCGACTACAGCAGCAGCAGCAGTTTGGGACGCTTGCTCGCCACGTGCGCCTTTGCCAATTGTGTTCAGCAACGCTGCCCCTGCTCGTACAATCGCTTTCGTGCAAGATGTAGTTTAATCACCCGCAGCCTGCGTAGTTTGTGTATGCGGCGTCGACCTGTGGCATCCCGGGTCTGCCCACCCCCCCCCGTGACCTCCTGCCGGCGGGCGTTCGACACTTCACGTGCCCCCCCCCGACGTGCACGTAGCCTGGCACGAGCAACTTAGTGGCGAATGGCGCTTGTTGTTGTTGATGATGATGTGTTGACGGTGTGCAAAACGGCCACCCGGAGTTCGATTCCCCGCTCACGGCCAACACCGGTGACGATTATTTGAACCGGATCTGGGCCTCCCCTAGGTCGACTCAGCCTCAAACAAGTAACTGGTGTGTTGTGTGTGAACATCGCCACTGGGGGAGACAAAGGCGGCCGGGGCCTGGTGCTGGCCACCCACCCACCCCCTCGTGTGCCGTGCCGGCCTTCGTAGGTGCTCGCTAACAGCACTTGACACCGAAAGTATGTTAAGGCTACACGGGGGATCTTTGTCTTTATCTTTGGTGTGTAAAACACCGGTGATGAATGTTTGTGTCGTTTGCATAATTTACGCTTGCTGTCGCTCGCAACAAGTACTTTGTTCGTGCAAGACGCGGTTATAATCACGAATGCAGTGTCATTTACACGTTGAACAGTTTTTGTGTCACAGTTTGTGTGTGTCATTAGGGGCCGTCCATAAATGACGTCACGCGATTTTGGACTATTTTTGACCCCCCCTCGTCACACGACGTCAGACCCTCCCTCAAATATGACGTCACAAAGCTCTGCCACCCCCCCCCCCCCCAAAAAAATATATATATGCTTCAAATCGCTTTTAACTATTGTCATTGTAGCGCGTGTTTAATGTGGCGCTGCACTCTGATGATGTAGGAGAAAACATTTATCAAATAGTCTATTTAATTAAGTAGAACGTTGCATTCTTTGGTTCATTCGGTAAAATCTCGTAGAAATAGAAAATAATAAATTACATATTTTCTATTTCTTCGTGACTTTACCGAAAGAACCAAAGAATAAATTCCTGCAGTCACGAAAGCGTCAAATCAAGTTTAAGTAGAACGTGTTTGTATTTAATGTTGCGCATTTTGATGTGACGTCACATTTCTCAAACCCCCCCTCCCCTCGTCACACATCGTCACAAATGTCTGACCCCTCCCCCAGGTGCGTGACGTCATTTATGGACGACCCCTTACACCGCTGTAGTATAATGCAGGTGGCTATAACGAGTAGAAGAAGACGGTTGTGTCAGCGTGGGGAGCCAATCAGCAGTCGACGTTTAAAGGGCCCCATGTGGGTCTCGCGTTGTGTATCAAAATAGTCGCGTTGTGTATCAAAATAGTCGCGTTGTGTATCAAAATAGTTGGGTTGTGTATCAAAATAGTCGCGTTGTATATCGAATAGTCGCGTTGTGTATCAAAATAGTCGCGTTGTGTATCAAAATAGTCGCGTTGTGTATCAAAATAGTTGGGTTGTGTATCAAAATAGTCGCGTTGTATATCGAATAGTCGCGTTGTGTATCAAAATAGTCGCGTTGTGTATCAAAATAGTCGCGTTGTGTATCAAAATAGTTGGGTTGTGTATCAAAATAGTCGCGTTGTATATCGAATAGTCGCGTTGTGTATCAAAATAGTCGCGTTGTGTATCAAAATAGTCGCGTTGTGTATCAAAATAGTTGGGTTGTGTATCAAAATAGTCGCGTTGTATATCGAATAGTCGCGTTGTGTATCAAAATAGTCGCGTTGTGTATCAAAATAGTCGCGTTGTGTATCAAAATAGTTGGGTTGTGTATCAAAATAGTCGCGTTGTGTATCAAATAGTCGCGGTGGTGGTGGCAGCGGCTTCAACTTCCTATTGAAAACTGCTGCCGTTGCTGAAACGCAAACTTGAAGCTGCGATGCCTTGCATCGCACATTCAAGTTTAGCGCACGTGAATGATAACGCCTGTGCAGTTGTATACACTGAAGGTAATGACCGTAACTATTTATACCGTGTGTAAGTGGAAGTGTAGCTGTTGCGCTACGAACCCGGCGACCTGTGGCGATTACCTGAACAGGTCTTCGGCCTACCCCTAGGTCGACTCAGCCTCAAGTGCGGTGTGGAGACAAAGGCGGCCGGGCGTGGTGTTGGCCACCCGCTCCCCTGGTGTGCCGTGCCGGCCTTCATAGGTGCAAGTGAATAGCACTTGCCCCAACAGTCTGTTGAGGCTGTACGGGGGGATCCTTTGTCTTTGTATATGTTGAAATATAAACGTATGTCATATAAAGTGAATGTTATATCGAGTATATAAGTGTATGTATACAGTATCAGTGTTATAATACAGTTTAAGAATGTGTCGTGCACCTTGTAAGTGGCAGGGTCAGCTGTTGTGCAGTTGTTGGTAACAGCTGCAAGGGCCCTGTTCGGCCAGATACCGTCAGTGGTTTGCTCATGATGTCATTTTAATACACAGTTGTGTGTGTGGGTATGTGTATATTCTTGGTTCTTTCGGTAAAGTCACGTAAATAGAAAACAAAAAAATCTAAATGAAAAAAGAAATGCTATTTCTTTTTATTTGTATTATTTTAATTTTATTTTATCATTTTTATTTTATTTTTTAAAACATTTTACGTGACTTTACCGAAAGAACCAAGAATATGCATTCCTGCAGTCACGAAAGTTTTAAGTGAAAATTTGGGTGTGTGTATATATTTAAGTGCACTGATTATCATCAATCAGCCTTGATCAATCCACTGCTGGATGAAGGCCTCGCCACGCTGTCGCCACGTGATAAAACTGCCCTGCACAGATATCTAAAAAAAACAGCGCAGCCATTGGCGGCAGGGCCATGACGTGTCAACGGTGTTGACGATGGCACTGCGGTCGAGGCTAACGATGGAGTGGCAGCCAAAGGTGGGAAACGCGCCCGAGAGATAGGAAGGGCCCACCGTGGAAATGGAGTGGTGAGATCGGCGCGCGTTGCGGGAGCTCGATGGGTTGTGGCATCACCGGACCGTGGGGGATGGCAGCGGCTCGGATGCCACCACCTAGCAGTGGCTTGATCGTGGCTGATAATGCCACCACCTAGCAGTGGCTTGATCGTGGCCGATGATTGGCAGTTGTTAGTTGGACGTGAGTTTCAAGCTACTGGCACATTTCTACTGCCTATATTAGTCTTTTGACATTGAGGGCAATGAGATTCGCCAACCAACACGACAACTTTCAGCCAGAACTGTGCGGTACAGCAGCAATGGGTGGCGATACCGTTAGCAAGCCAAATGTATTTGTGGCTTTAGTTGCAATCGCGCAGGTCACCTTTCCGTCTCTTTGGGCTCTCCACTGGCAATGCAGTGCTAAAAAGGAAAGCGCTTGGGAACATTTTGCAGACTGGGTCGATAGCGTAATTGTTAATGCACTTCACCATGAGCCCGTCGCATTTATTCAATTCCTGGCCCCAGCTCTCCTCACTGGCGAGTGATATCTGAGCTTACGCTGCTGCCGCCCCACCCCCCCCCCCCCGTCACGCCCCCGACACCAATTAGCACTCGCCAGCGTGATGATGAAGTACAGTAAACCCTTGTTAAATCGACACGTACGGTGCTCTGGCCTTGCCGAATTATGTACAACGGTATACTCCCCCAGTGCCTCCTGCACCAATATTTTTTTTTCTTCCAAAATTTGCTTTCCGAATTTTTTTTCTCCAAAAAAAGTAACACTCAGCATCAGTCGCTGGTACTGCAGGTGAAGAAGGCGGATGTGGTGGATTCCATATGGTAGATGAAAGAGGTTTTGGAGGGGGGCTTAATGAACTTAGTATGCACTTACTGTACTGAATGTTCACTTTAACACTACATTATAGCTTAAATACAAAATTCCACTAATTTAAACTTCACATTTTTTACTTAACAATTAATGTTTACTTAAAGACTGCATTGCTTTACACTCTTAACACCGCGTTGCTCGCTATCAGATGACTTCGGCTGAAGTGGCACTTACCTACTGACAGAGGTATCTGTGGAAGAATATCCAGAGACTGAAGGCATTGCGCTGGAGGCTTCACTGCTTGTAGAATGCAGCTTACGCCTGGGTGCTTGTGACATGGGTTTAAAGAAGTCAGATATTTTTTTCCCTTGTTTGTAATTGTTTATAATTGCTGTGCAACAGGTCTGCACTAACGCTCGCCACGCGCGCTGCCGCCAGACCGAGTCAATGTTTTGGTCGTGGCCGCACGGCGTCGCTCCACGCGCTTTGCCGAAATTGGACCATTCGGTACGGCAATTCGGCCTGTGGCGAATTACCAATACTGTAGATATGCCGAAAGCACGGCCGTGCCGAATTATCCCCAATTACGAGTGATCAGATACCGAAATAACGAGGTTTTACTGTATGGTAAAAAAACATGATGGTTATGGCATGTGTAGAGGGGAGGCCTTTACCCAGCAGTACATTGACAAAAAGGCTTCAAATCAAGATCGGTGTGCACTTGGTTGCTCGTCCGGTCATATACGTCGCAGCATTGATGTGCTTTCAGATGCGCTTCTGCGGCTGTCTGGAACGCTCTTTCTTCCTACAGGCAGCCACTAGAGCTATGTACTTGGAAATCATCTAGATTGTAAACTCACTTCTTTAGAACTGCTTTTTTGTCTTGAGTTTGTTGTCCTTCCCCCACACCTCCGATTAGCACGGTCGGCTACGTACGGTGCCAACGAAGTTCAACATACCGGCATACATGCGATGAAGAAAGTCGAATGCATGGATTGTAGAACACACGCACGCTAGTGGCATCATCCTATTGACTGTTCAGAAGAATAAGTGGGCACGGGCAGGGCACGTTATGGCTAGAAGGTGTGATCGCCTGGTGGTCAAAACTGATGTCGGTTTTGCAGCCAAACCATAGGCGGCCTTGGGGGAAATCATCCGGGAGCGATGAAATCGGCTCCTTTTGCAGGTCCTGAATGGATTGCTACATCTCAGGACCTTGAGAGATGGTGATGGCTTGGGGGGAGGCCTTCACCCAGCAGTGGATTGTTAGTGGCTCGTGACGAGAGTCGGGGCGTGTGTTGGTGCTATTTAGGGGTAGAGGAATTGTCTATCTTTAACTGCACAGTTCTGCCGGCTGCCTGTTTTAAGTGGGTTGGTGCGAATGGGTTGGGGGTTATGACACATGGATACAGCACTGTAATTAGTTCCTATACTGGCACAAGCGAATGTTTATACATATACATACGTTTGTGCCAGTTGCTGAGTCACTACCGCCACACTGACGTTATTGGTTCTGAGGATCAGACTTGTTGACTCTTCGCGCCATTCGCTTTGTGATGCCAAATATTATCATTCAGGTGCCAGCTTCTGCACTACACTCTGCTGACAACGTAAACCCCGCAGTCGCCTATAATACCTCTTTTATACATGGCAATCGCCCATCCAAGCACCGTGCAGGCTCAACGCTGAACGCTGCTTAGCTTCACGTATGCATGCATGTATGTTTAACTTTTTGTCATACCTTACGTAGCCAACCGTGCTTATCGGAGGCGCGGGGGAAAGACAAATAAATATGATGTGATGAGATTGGCGGATTCTGGGTGATTTGGTCGCAGGCCAAAATCAATTGTTGTACTGTACTACTAATATCTATGCCCCCCCCCCCCCCGCCTTAACCAGGTTACACTGCCCAGCATAGGTGGGGCTGCACGTGGACACATTAATCAGCGTTGTACAACTGCGGTGATGGATGGTCGTGCTCTCGTAACGGTGGACGTTTCTTTCGACCACAGCAAACCCAAGAACGTGCTCGTCAACTGTTGGTTTTGCAACGAGAATACCACGGTTCCGTACGGGAATCAGAATTGCTGGGACTGCCCCCACTGCGAGCAGTACAACGGATTTAGAGAGGTACAGCAACCACCCTTGTGCATCTTCCTTTAAAGCAAACAATCCATCGTCGCTTGTTCGCAACTTTTCATGACCTTCCTCTGAAATTGAAAAAGACGTATTAACGAGCATTTTTTTATGCCCTTCAGCAGTGATGTCTGTTTGCCGGCCGCTTGGCCATTTGGGCCTTTTGGGCCCTGCGCTCACCACCCACCCATCGGCTCTCAGTCTCATGTCACTAACAGGGTGACGCGGTGGCGAGATGTTAACTCCCTCGCCTGACATACAGGACGTCATGGGTTTCACTCCCGACTCAATTCCCTCTGTATATTTGGAGTTTGCATGTTCTCCCCGTTGTCGCATGTACTTTTCTCTGGGTTCTCCCGTTTTACCCTCCACATTTAGAAACATCCCTATAGACTACTGGCTGCTATAAATTTCCACGTGATAAGCCACTTCGTTGAGCTGTCATTTGTGGCCCGGTCGCTTCTGAAAAAGAGCTATATTGCTCAAGTGGGCCTTACCTGCTAAAATGAAAATAGTTTAACTTAGCGTTCATTAGTGTCTAGCCTCAGCATCACCATGGAAAAAGGGGCTTTTGGCTCGTTGCGTCCTCGGAGTGTTTGTGCCGTCGCTATCGATCATCGTGAGCAGTTATTCCATCACTCGTTTGATCTTCTCATTAACTCTTTTGAACCTTGCATAATCTGGTGAAAGTGCCTAAAATAAATATTGTATGTTTGCCAGTAGGCCAGCTTAAACACATTTTATTTGTATGTTGGAAGATAGAACAGACGTCGGTCGATATTGCTTATTGCCCATGATGCGCCACAGCAACACGTATTGTGTTTGTGTACAATTTATTGATGTTTGCATTGAACAGGGCCACATTGTTTATCTTCAGCACTCTTCGCAAAAATACCTGGAAACCGAGCAGCATTTTTTCCCATAAAGCCGACTCTGCTGATGAGGCCGAGAAGGTCAGCAAGCAGTCTTAGAGTTTTCTCACTTCAGCAAGAATCTGCTGAATAACATTTGTCCGAAGACAGTTCTAACAACGGAGGTCCATTAAATATAGGCGGTATTTAATGGACCACCATTACAATGCATTCCTGGATACCCCTATGTAAATCGGACCCTGTTTTCCACTAGATAGTGTGAAGAGTCGAAACATCACTTGCCGATGTGTTTTTTTTCTCTCTAACGGCTGTATTTAACAGGGTTTAATCGGCAAAAATCCACAACAAACACTTAAGAATAACAAAATCTGCGCCCCAAGTCACATCGGAAACCAGACTGACTCTGTTCAAATGCGTTTGGAGTCGTGACGGAAGATGCGTCGTAAACCAAATTTGTGCGCCGTAAATCCATCCGTGGTGGCATCTGTAAACAAAAAAAAGCTTTACAGCTCATCGGATTTCTCCAGTATAAATAAATATTCTGATATAAACATCGTGAATCAGACCGTCGTGAAACAGGGACCGCCCGTTCTAAATTAACTCGGCGGCAAACTGTCGCCCCACCGCTCGTACCTCCGTCGCCTTTTGATTTTTGCCCGCCGCTCTGTCCTGGGGCGTGACTTCCTTGAGGACGGTGACTACAACAAGCCGATACCCGCGCAGCACTCGGAGTACCTGAACCACGGCACGCCCACCGGCGGGGCCTGGGAGGCCACGCGCTCCTCCGGCGGGACGGCCGCCGGCAGCAGCGGCTCCGTGGTGCAGCAGTGGGTGAGCAGCCGCCATCTCCTGTGCAGGCGCTGCGCCGCCAACCAGCAGCTCAAGATCCGCCAGATCGCCAACTTCACCCCGCGCAGCGAGGTACACGTGATTCTCCGTGTGGTCGCGTGTCCCCCCCCGCCCCCCCCGCCACCCCCTCCTGCGGCCGATGTAAACTTTGCCACGGTGGCGAGATGTTCACTCCCTCGCCTGATATTCAGGACGTCATGGGTTCAATCCCGAGCCAATGCCTGCTGTAATATTTGGAGTTTGCATGTCTCTCTCCCCGTGGTCGCGTGGATTTTTCTCCGGGAACTCCGGTTTTTCCCTCTACATTTAGAAACATGCGTTTAGAGTATTTTGTCTGCAAAAAATGTCCACGTGCTGATAAGCCACTTCTTTGAGCTCTCATTTGTGGACAGGTCGCTTCTGACAGAATTGCGATATAGCTCAACGGACATTACCTGGTAAAATAAAAATAGCTTGGTTTGTGTTTGTGCTTTGTCTTGGCTTTTATTTTGTGGGTAACCTTTTATTCCAGTCCGTTAAGGCCACAGGAGGGCAGCACAGTCATGGATATCCCCATAACCCGAATCGCCACGTTCGGTACTCTGCGCAGTTGCAAAATATTAATTTGCGCTGTCCTTAAGTTCAAACAGCACACCCGAGCAGTGCTGCTACCATGTCTTCTTAAAATGTATGCACTGACAGATGTAATGCGTAATGAAACAGTCGACTCATTGGTATAGAGGTCCTGTGCTGTGTGTGTTTGTGTGTGTGTGCCTGATGGTGGGGAGCGGTGGCGCAGTGGTTAGCACGCTGGCTATGAAGCTGTCGACCCGGGTTCGATTCCCGCTCATGGCCATCACCGGTGACATTTATCTGAACCAGCCTCAAATGAGTACCTGGTGTGGTGTGTAAACATCACCACTGGTGGGACGAAGGCGGTCGGGCGTGTTTTTGGCCACCCAGCCCCTCGTGTACCGTGTGGGCCTTCATAGGTGCTGCTTGCTAACAGCATTTGTCCCAAAAGCCTGTGAAGGCTATCCAGGGGATCTTTGTCTTTTTATGCCTGATGGTAGGCACATAATGTTGCAGTGATTTGTCGATCAAAATATATTCTCGCACCCGCGATTGTGCGCAATTGAGCCATGCGCGCATAAATCGATTGTTTACAGTGTATACAAATGACATACAAAAGGTAAGAAGCATGTCCAGGAGCACATCCACCGCAGAGATGGAGCGATGAAATGATCTCGTGTGCGGTTGCCCGGCTGAGCGTTGCATTGTGGGACCGTCTCATTCACGGTGTGTTCGACTCGCATACTGTCGGTGACAACAACCCGCTCACCTGCTCACTCTCCACCCTGCAGGTCACAACACTTCCCTTGCTGCTTCTCTCCTCCTCCTCGCACCCCTCCACTTTGGGAATGCCCTCCCCATCCGTCTCTTGCCCCACGTTCTTATTACCTTGATCAGACACGAAAACAAATACAAAAACAACTGCGTTGACTCTTATCTGTTTTACCTTTGCGAGTTCTCGTTGCTGCATGCCGCATGATGCTTTGAGCCTTTTGGGTCCTAGGGCCATAGGGCCCAAAGGCTCAACAACCGTGATAAAGACAAAAAAAACCCCTCCTGGAACAAACGAATTAACCGCAATATCTTGTTAATCGCGTCAAGGAGCTTAAACCACCATGCACACTCCGGCCATCCTCGCAGCAGTTTTTGCCTAGTCATCAAACAAAGACGGTCACTGCATCGCTTGTTTTCAGATGCGCTTCTGCGGCTGTCTGGAACGCTCTTCCTTCTGATATTAGGGAACCACTGGAGCTATGCAATTTTAAATCTAGATTGAAAATGTCATTTCTTCAGAACTGCTTTTTGTGTTTAGTTGTCCTTCCTCTGCACCTCCAATTAGCACAGTTGGCTGCGTACGGTGCGAAATAATTTCAACATAATAACACAGGGACGTGCTCAGCAGCCTGTAAACATTGTCACATTTTTGTAGGAGTGTCTCAGTGGCATTGGCAGATTATCAACACTCTCCTCCTCCTCCGCCACCACACAGGCCATCTCGCCTGAGGATGGGCGAGGCCTTAGGGGGGTGAGTGTGAGGTTCATGGGCCCATTTTCCTGCTGTATCTTATCGACCCCTGTTCTCTAGCTGCAACAACTATTTATATTTTCTCTTCGAACCAAGGCTGTGCGCAAGCAAGTGGTGGGGGGGGGGGGGGACTTGTGATTTTAGCTGGTTCTGTCAATTAGGCTGCAATGCCACCATTTTCAAGGTCTCTTTTTTGGCTTTGCGAGCCATAGGAATTTTTTTTTGCAAGAGGGAAAAAAAACCCTCCACTGCACGTGTGAAACCGTTACGAGCGAGATGCACACAAGTGCTGTCCGCGGTCCACGCGTGAGCCACACTCGCGGCGTGAGTAAGCCAAGAGAGGGAATGTGCCATCTGCACGGGCGGTGACGAAAGATGACGCGATTTATATTGGTTTAGTGCTTTAAATACGTGTGCATACCACTCTGCCGCTTAAAACCAAACCTGCCCTGAGAATGTGTGTTGAACTTCTTTTGCACCGTACGTCGCCAAGTGTGCTAATCGGAGGTGCGGAGGAGCGACCACAGACGATACACAAAAAAGCTGTTCTCAAGAAATTAATTTTCAGTCTATGTTTAAAAGTGCTTAGCTCCAGTCGCTTCCTAGTATCGGAAGGAAGAATGTTCCAGACGGCCGCGTATCGCGCCACTTGCCAGAAGCTAAACAGTCTGGACAGTGGTTGGATGGGCGACTAATGAGCGCAGAAGGTTTGTTATAGGCTGCTGCCACATTTAAGCAAACACATTGCACAGTACTTCTATGCTGCCACATTTAAGCAAACACATTGCACAGTACTTCTATGTTGCCACATTTCAGTTTTCCGCGTTTGTCGACCGGCAGTGACCTGCGTGATGCGGGGTCGCGATTCGATTTATGTTTGTCTCTTTGTGTACATTTTTGTTCAATCCTTCAACCTAAATGTTACGTCGGCAACACGATATGCGAACATTTTAAATAATCGATTCTCTCAATGATCAATTTTAATCGGGCATTTGTAATTAGAATTGCTCCTTACGCACTGCGTGCGTGCATTTAACCCTTTCCGTGACGCCTGCAAGCTGTACGGTGGGGCCTCACCAATCCGCCACCAACTTCCACAGTGCTGCCATGTAATCTCCTGCACACAGGCCCAATTGCTTCGCTCCATCTCCTCGATATGGGTCCTCTCGGACGCGTTCCTTTCCTCGTCTGGCATTCCGTCGTTATTGTTGGCCGTCTAGCGACGCGTCCTGCCCGCTTAATTGTCTTAACGCGAAATAGGTCATCAACATGCGTACGTTGTAGAATCCATGAATTCCTGGCATGTATCTCTCCACACTTCGGTGTGTACTTTAAAGTCCCCAACCCCCCCCCGCCCCCTGTTTTCTTCATTAATGATCGTGTTTGCTTCGCAGACATCGCGCTACCGACGCCGTCATGTATTTTATTACGACGCCTCGTTCACCATGATTACGAGTGAAATAAAAACCCCGCAAGTATGGAATCTTGGATCGAATTGTGGCCTCGAACCATTACGAGCTATCGAATCGTGAGCCGGGGTGGGGAATCATACGGTACAAACCGTCGCACAACTAATTTGTCACGCTTGAGCCTCACAGCAGGAAGCACCTAGGTTTGGTTCCCCCACTCGGCCACCTTTCTGCATTCCTTTTGTACGTAAAAATAATAATCGCCAAATGCATTCGTCATCGTTAACACGACCACCCCACCCCTCGCCTTCGCCCCCCCGCCGCAGGACTCTTACGATGACGAGGTGGAACTGTACCGCCACCACCTGGAGCAGACGTACCGCCTCTGCCGCCCGTGCCAGACGGCCGTCGAGTGTTACATCCGGCACCAGGACCGGCAGATCCGCACGCGCATGCTGGACCTGCATGCGCGGCAGGCGCCTCTGGGTCGCTACGCCGACAAGGCGAGACCCCGCCCCCCCCCCCCGCCACGCCCGCGAGCGTCCCACGAGAAGTCGCGGAGGAAAGTGGCACGGGCCGTTGGGTGTCGCTGGTGGCGCGACGCTCGGCTAGCCCAGGCCCCGTGCCCCCCCCCCCCCCCGATGAAAGCCTTGTCGCAGGGCCCATGCCGCACATTCGATCCTCCCTCGTTCGGCAAACGAGCAGATGTCGGTTCTTTCGTTGGATCGCCACATTTGTTAATTTATTTAAAATGTGCCTTTAACAGGGAAGTGTTGACTAGTATAGGGGGGGGGGGGGGTTCTCCAGTTTCCTGCTCATTAATGGCATTGGCCAAATATCTCAATTGCAGGACCCTTCTGAAATGGGAGGGAGGGGGGGGGAAACAGTTTGGAGACTCAATGAGGCTTTTCCTGGCTAGACAAATGGCATTCAATAATGACCAACTTACCTTCCCCGAGCCTCCCAGCCAACGAGAACGCTCGGCTGATTTCGCCGCACGGTGACGATTATCCCCTTGTCGCCGTTGCCGCCCTCCGCAGCTGTCGCCGCAGCAGTTCTCCGCCCGGCTGCCCAAGAAGGTGGTGCTGCTACGCGTGCTGGCCTTCGCCTGCTGCGCCGCGCTGGTCGCCACGGCGGTGCTGAGCGGCGGCACCGGCGGCAGCCAGGACACCGCGGCTGGCGCACGGAGGTCCCCGAGCGTTCCGCCCGGGCCGCCCGTCGCCACGAATCAGGCGGGGGGGCTTCCCCCGCACAACGGCACGGGCCCGCGCGGCGAGCAGGCTCCGGGCAGTGGCGCCGGGACAGGCGCTGGCACCGGCGCTGGCACCGCGACTGGCACCGCGACCGCACCGGCTGCCCCGAACGCCTCCCTCCTTGAGATTGTGCTGCTGTACATCCCGGTAATAGTTTTAATTAATTTAATTCATCCATCCGTTTGTTCATGTGCTTTATTTAAAACCCAGGAGAGAGCAGACCTGAGATAAATTACAATTATAATTTTGTCAACGACATACATGAATTGCAATTGCAGTGTAATTGTGATTGCAGTCTCGGCTGATGGTGGCTGGGTGGCTGGGTGGGTGAGTGGGTGGATTGGTGGATGGGTTGATGGGTGAGTGAGTGAGTGGGTGAGTGGGTGGGTGGGTGACTGAGTGGCCGTGCCGTTGTGACCAGCAGTAGTGGTAGTTGAACAAAGTACGGACGAGACAAAACAGTCAGCCTGATAACCCGAGTCCTCAGCATGGGTGGCGAAGGAACCAATGGCTGACGTTCAAGTGAACCGTAACCCACGATAGGGAGTAGCGGCGATAAAAGAGTGACAAGAAGGTGACTGCCCATCAGAAAAGCGACTCGCTGGGGTGGATCGGCCTGACTAGCCGTCCGCTCGCGTTCGCTTCAATCCCTCCGGGGGGGGGGGGGGGGGCTGTGCCCGCAGGTGCCGGAAGGCGCCACCGACTTCCTGCACCACGCCTGGGGCCTCGGTGAGGATCACCGTCTGGGCCTCGCCTGCTGCGGCCTCTCCGCCTGCCTGCTCAGCGTGCTGCTCGCTGGCCGCCTCCGGTACAGTACACTCGCAACGCGCCCCCACCCCCCCTCCCCATGGGGCTTTTGTTTTTTGTAGTTTTATTTTTAAATGTATTTTTTCTCACTTAGCAATTCCATGCCGTGGCTTAAATCCCGCGGCATCTGCAAGCACCTTGCGTCCGTCACAACTCACCTCAAAATATATTCGAAGGGGCACTTAACGTGATGCGCAATACTCGGAATAATTTTTGTACAAAAACAAAGCATGGAAGATTCTGTCGCTCAACCACGATGCACGGCGTCCAGTTGTGCACGCCAAGAAAAAGATTGATTATTCAAATTATGCGCGTGTGATTTTTGCAAACGTTCGGTGCATGGTCATGGAACGAATGTAAGAATACTTACGCCAACTCATTGAATACAAGCGCATCAGCTGGACTTCCCGGGCCACTCAGTCGTGACCCCCATCATTTACGTTTGGCGAGATGTTAACTGCCTCGCCTGGTATACAGGGAGTTGTGGGTTCCATCCCGACCCTGACGACTGTATATTTCGAGTTTGCATTTTCTCTCTCTCCGTCGTCGCGTGGATTTTTCCTCCACGTTTAGAAACATGCATTTACAGTATTTGGCTGCTATAAATTTCCCCATGATAAGCCACTTGAGTTATCATTTGTGAGCTGTATTGCTCAGTGGGCCTTACCAGGTGCAATAAAAAGTTACTTTCATATCTGCGTCAACGCGCGCTGAAGTATAGAGCGGGGTTAGAAAGAAAAAGTAAAATAATGAGTAGATAAATCTGTCAGCGGATATACCTGAAAAATGAAAATAGTTGAGCTCATATAAGTGTGCGGCGGTCAAATCCGCTTCGTTCTTGGCTTTACTTTAACGCACCTGCTAGCATTTCCTTTTTTTCCTTTTTTTCCCTTCGTCTCCTTGACGGCTCTTGAGAAATGCTGATGCGGCAGCCACGGATAAAGTAGTTTGACCTTTGTCAGGTCATTGAGTGACTGAGAGACGCGAGGAAGGCCAGCGGTGATAGGGCACGCGGAGTTGATGGGCTGAGACGGAGGAGCCAGTGACGTCTGAAAGCGGTGACTCTAGAATTATTATTTTGGATCGTCCCCCCTGGCCTTGCCGGGTTGTCCGTGTTTCCCTACGTGGAGGACAGCCGTCGTTTTGATCATCGCCGTCCTCAATCGGTGATCTACGTGCTAACACATAGACTTTGACGACCAATATTAATTTAGGCAAATCGCCTGACGAAGCTGGTGTTGTAATCGCCATCAAAATGTCATAGTGGAATTGTGAATGTTGTGGCTTTACTCTCCAACACGTCGTGTGCTGAAGTAGTAACGAATTGGCACATTTTGTTCACGTGACAAACCTTACCTGTTGGCTGTGTTGGGTGGAGGTGGGTTAACGACACATTTATATTTACGCACACTAACCCAAACACTTTGATTTTGGATCTACGTGCTCTTACAGGTTTCCAATTCACTTCCAGTTGTTCCGGTAAAGACGTATTGTAATTATGGCGGTATAGTCAATTGCAAATTGTGCTGCTGGAATATATACACGTGGAGCAAACACGAGCAATGTGTTTCCGGGTTGTGCCGTGAAGCCCTTGGCCGTGATGTCCGACGTTTCGCTCCACGTGCTGGGAGCTTGCAAAGGAAGTGAACTCCACTTGAAAAGCAATGCACTCTGCGAAGGAGCCCTCGGCGCGGACAGCGAAACGTCGGGCATCGTGCCGACCCGGCCAACGCACCCGAGGGCTTTTCACATCGCAGCCACGAAAGCTTCCGCTGCAGCAAAGCTCAAAGCGTTGTGTCAGGCAGCGGGGATCACCGTTGGGGTCAGAGGTGGAGAGAAATATTATTTGGTTTGGCGTGCAAAAATGAGGCGTGTGGCAATTTGTGAACAATGTGCCCAAGGACGGGATGATTTCCAAGAGAGATTATTATTTTTTTGGTCCCGCGCCCTATCACTCGGGCGCTTCTTTGAGTAGACCACCATTGACCACTAAAAGGGATTTAAAGGCGAGGGCGGGGGGCGGGGGGTCCTTTCAATTCACAGGCGGCTACTCGCGTGCCTGCGTGGCCCCGCGCTCGCCTGCCCGTTGAGAGACGCGAGCCCGACTGCGACTCGATGCGATGACCCGCGCCTGCGTGGTGAGCGCCCGCCGCTGATTGCCAAGTTTAACCGGCGGAACTCCAAAAGATTTCCCTCCCTCTTTTGGGGTGGGGGTGGGGGGGGGACAGGTCCACGCCGTTTGAAGACAATAGGCGTGGCTTTCTTTTCATCAAATCTGACATGCGGAGCGCTTGAGAGAGAGAGCGAGAGACGCCCTGAGAGAAGCAGGCGGTTGTTACACTTGAGCGCCACGCATATCTGCACTGCCCTCTGTACTGAAACGTAAGCCTTTTCTTCTAGGTGGGTGCTTTCACAGACAAGTGGGCAGAAAGGTTTTTTTTTTCTTTTTTCCCTCCGCCAAAATGTAGAATGGCGACGGACGTATGAGTGCACGGGACTTTTTTGTTCTGTGAGTGAGATTGAATGCCCCGGGGGGGGGGGGGGGGGGAGGGGGGGTGGGGACCGGGTTTTCGGCTGCCTTTGACAAAATCGGTCGTTGAGAGAGACAAAAATGGAACGTAGAGATGTTGTTTTTTGAGAATTTTGGCTTTCACTTCTGCACGTCATTCATTTGAGATCAATTATCCACGCAAAACTCTTTCATCTTGTTTGAATTTACTTTCGCACAAAAAGCCTCGGTCATAGGGCACGTCAACGTCGTGAATATTTGGTTGTTCCTCGGATTGGGAAAACAAATTTGGGAATAATTTAAAATGTAATTAGTGTCACGCTGACATCCCAGAGTCTCTCATTGTCAATCGGTCTGTCGTCCAGCCATGGCACTTGGTTGAGTATTGTTCAGCATATCGAGTCTGGTAATGGTTCTCTCTGAACAAAACACCGGGGACCTATAGCATTGATTTCATGATGAGCTATGTGCAAGCTGTGACCTTTGAGCTTGAACGGAAAAAGCGAGATTTTTTTTTCCTTGAAATTTTTCACCTTGCTATTTACAATGAATTGGTGGCTACAAATGTTAAATTGACTGGGTGTTGGTGGGAAAAGGCTTAATTAGGCGAAAAGTCACTTACGCTACGCGTGCAGTTTTATGAACGTTTGTTGTTTAGAAATAAAATCCACCTCATCTTTACCGATGCGCTGGCATTGTTCCATTCTTTATACTTGCTTGTATTTTTTTATATATTTCTCGTTTGAAAATATAGGTATTTCACAGTTAAAGCGCTCTGGGTAAAGTGATGTACATGCCAGAGATAGGCACAAAAAAGTATATCGAATAGCACGAACAAAAGCGCGAGTGAAATATTTATTGAACGCTTGCTGAAAGCATTCACCCTCGTGAGTCACTGAACAAAATCAAGTTGCGGAGAGCTACAAATTAAATGCGTCCGTTTTAAAGCGATGGCGTGCGCGTACTGTACGTCTGTTTGACACCACCGTGTCAGAGATAAACATTTCAAAGTGACGGGCGATGTGGAGCAGTCCCCTGAGTTACGGAGCGGGTGGAGAACCCCGCCCCCCCCCCCGCCCCCCCCCCCCCTTTCATCGTCTTGTCAACAAGCGCACTGCGAACTGCACCCTGCTCTCGCCTCCCGTTGAAAAAGTAACCAGGCGTAAGTGTGTGGGTGAGTGAGTGAGTGGGTAAGCTCATGTATGTAAGCGCGTTGAGCTTCTTTAGCACCGTACGTTGCGGGCCCGACTGAGAAGTTACGCGCCTGTTTGTATATCGCACGTACTCGTCTGCTCACGTGCGACCAAATCGCGAGGCGGGCGCCCAATCTCGTCGGATCGTGGAAGCTAAGCAGGCTTCAGCCTGGGGGGGACTGCGCTTGGACCGCGCTTGGACCGGGCGGCGGTCGTGCTGTTTCTGTTTTAAAGCACGGATAGCGAGCACGGGCCCAAAACGCCGAGCAGCACCCCGCAGTTAACCAACCCAGCATTCACCGGCGCGGTGAAGTACGGTTAAAAAAATATATATATATAACGACCCGCGCGGCATGGGGAGATCGCCCCCTCATCCAGCAGTCGATCGAGGACGGCGCCCGTGCGCTCGCTTCTGCTCGAGGCCGCGCGCTTGCGTGGAGAGGCCTGCGAGAGGTCGCGAGGAGGACGGGCGGCGACGTGCCGGCAGCGCGCGGGGTGGCAGTGTCAGGTGTGGAATGTGACGAGGCTCGGGGCCCCCCCCCCCCTCCTCCCCCCCTCTGGGCAACGCGAGAGGGAACTGACAGACATGGATCACGGGGGCCCGATGCTGGTTTAGCTAACCTTTCAACCCTCCTCTCATTAGCCAAAGCGTTGCTAGAAAATAATTTGATGGCGGAGGAGGGGAAAGCAAAAAAAAAGTTGGCAGGGGAGGGAGAGAAGCTTTCCGTGGGGGGAAAAAGGGAAGAAAAAAGTCCTCCGCTTCAATCGCGTGGGAAACTTTTCACGCGCGCCCGTTGCGCTCAAGGGATTCGCGCACGGTCACCGATGACTTTCAAACTGAAATAACCAAGGTGAATAACCGTGGAGCATTTGGCAATGGGGTGGTGGTAAAACGGTCCTAGGAATGAATTTAATGCATATCGAGGGGCCACTGCAAAAAAACTACGAGGGCCCCCGTCAAAGTTAACGTGGCCCTGCCTACGATGGCATGTGACTTTGAAAAATCCCAAAATGCTGAGGTGCCCGGGAGGGTCGGAGGTCAGAGCCACGACCGCTTCTGTGGGCCGGTCTCTCGCACAAAGAAGAGTTCACGTCATGATATGCCGCCTATAGGACAATCACAATAACATTTGGCGGGGAGTGGCGGGAATTACATATATGCATATTTTTTAAAAAATCTGTACAGTGAAGTCATTGTTTTTGAAAAGCCGAGTGGTTTATATTGTACCCTGACTCGACGAATGTATTTGCCCTTAAACTCCCTCTTGTTTCCATTCCGCAAATACAATCGAGTCGGCG